AGCACTGGGGAAGAGCACTTTGCTGCTTCTGCACTGTGTTGGTTGGATGCACACACCAACCTTTTCTCTTCAAAGCGGAGAAAGGCTATTTAAGTCCGAGGCACAGGCTGATGTACGGAGGCATGATGGCAGCCTCATGAAAGGCAGTTTGAAATATTCTTGGGTACTAAGCAGAGGGGAAGTACGTGAAAAGAAAAAACACTGAACACTGAATCCACCCAAAGTAATCACAATTGGACTGTGCAATGTTTCTGCTTAAAAGGATGTGGCCATACTCACTGGTTTGCTTTATTTCTAATAGTTTAAAATGACTGTGTAATTAGTAATATGGAAGTTATATGATTGATAGGCTAATAACTGTTTCAGGAGTCACTATTTTAAATGGAGGAGCTTGCAAATACCCTCCCCAAAATCAGAAGAGAATGCTTATGACAGCAGAAGTTACCACAACAGAGGATGCTTAAAATTGCCTGTTGCAACTCATGTGAGACTTGCTTACAGAGTGAGTCCTTTGCTGGAATAAGTCAAGGTAATTGGGAATCTCACCCAAATTTCCGTGGTGTATCTGAATTCCATCAATGCCATCTATGGCATGAAGATCTTTCTGTTGTGTGACTTGTGAACTCAAGTAGAATTGTTGATTGAAGCATGGGGTTGCGAGGCTTTAATAGTACCACTTCTTGGGGTCTGAGTTGGGCTTCTGTCTTGGGCAGTGGAGGGCATAATCTCACGGGGACTTGCAACCAGGAGTTTGCAAGGACTCCTAAGGGAAGAAGGCACTCAGTGGAAACCAGTGCCAGTAGCAAGGTGCCGAGTCCTCAAACATCTCTCAAGGAAGAAGTTTTGGGGCAGCTAAAGATGTAGGAAGGCAGCTGTGGGCTTTTCAAAACCACTTCTAGGGGCTTGACCCACTTCTGAAAATGCATGTACCAATGTCACTTGTCAAGGGCTTCAGCAAAAGCTGTACTGGGTTTCCAAAGAGCCCTGGTCACGGGTCTTCACCCAAGGATAGAACTGGACAGCTGGGGACAGAGCCCACTCACTGCTGCACTTCTGCTCACTGGTGGGTCTGCCCTGGGATGCAGTGAGTATGCAGGGATCGGACCTTTACTGCCCACTGGGACCTGCCACTGCAAGCACATTCCTACCGGCGCTGCAGGCAGCTCTATGTCCAGTGTAACCAGCACAGCCCTCCCAGTGCAAGAGTGTTTAATATGTCTGCCCTTTGGTTCAGCACTGCACCTTTCAGTAGGGACCCATTTCAGAGAGCCCCTGGCAGCTGGTCTGAGCTGACATCTCTCTTTGCTTTTCTGCCTTGGGTGCAATTCCCAGGTGAGTCAGCTGGGACTTCAGAAGAGTCTGGTGAAAGCAGAAGCCAGCTTTCTATGTGCTGAGGGTTTGTGAGTGACTGTTGAGAAGAAACAGTCATTTTTCCTGGCATGCCTCTAGTCAGTGTGACCTTAAGAGTGTGAAAAACAGGGGCCCAGTGGTGACTGCCGTGGTTAAATAGCAGCAAGCGCGCTTTCACAAGAGGCCTTCAGTCATCGACACAGAAAACTTCCATGAAGGCAGTGGGGCTTTTGGGTAAGGTTTGAAGGCTCAGGCACTCACAATGGCGTGGAAATCACTAGAAACAGATGGCTATGTGGTGCTGTAAGTGTTCTGACCACCAGCAAAGCCAGCTAGGGTGGAATTGTCTCTTATCATATGCAAAAAACACCCAACGAAAGTTTACCGCCACGCTGCTGCAGCATTTAATGCAGACATCGCAGTTGTGTTATTGATCAGAGTTTTCTATTTTACAGACCAAAATGGTGGGCCCCCATTTTTTTAATTAATAATTCTCATTTCCTGCTTAAATGGAAATGGCTGATGTCCAGAAACCCCAAGTAACGAAGTCAACAAAGCTAATTAGATTTGCATGTCTTGCTCATGAGAAGTCTAACTTGCAAAGGCCGAGTGTGCATGCAGGGATCTGGCTTTAAGCATCCTCTCTGACATTTAGGCAACTGGAGATAGCTTTCTAATAGAGTTCTTGCTGCACAAGGACAGTAACCAGCCACCCAGCCAGGTAGTTTTCCACGTATGTATGTTCTGGGTTTTTTATGATAGACTTACTCCTCTCTTAAAGATTTCTGAATGTGTAACCCATCTACACATGGATTTCTTTGGACAAGAACAGCTACTCTGGGTTTTGGTTTTGTGATTTTGTTTTTTTTTTCCTTTGAAGGATTTTGACCTAATGCAGATCAAATCTGCACGTTTCACGCTGGCCCAGAATTTGTTGTCTTAGAAGCTGCAAAAGAGAGAAGGCATCAAAAGTGCCCATTTTTATAGTGATATATTTCAAGATGGTTTTATACCTAATGAAGTTACAGTTGGCGCCCTGAGTACCACACAGTCTTGCCCATAGGGATCAAAATTGGATTTTTAGAAAGCCTTTCAGGTGCGTTTTGGTAAAGCTGTGGTTGCTTGCCTTGTTTTATGGTGGCAATCACCTCCAATCTCAAAGATGTATTTTAATGTGTCAAAGGTGCCTTAACTCATGACTGAGAAGATTTCGGATAGGCACTGCCAAATCTTTCTTTAGCGGATGGATGGTATGTTACACACCCGATACCTGAAAACGCCTGCACTTCTCACTTCTCCCTCAAAACGTGGTGATAATTACATTTAAATTTCAGAAGATGGCGTTGAAGATTTGCAATTAATATCCTAAACTCCGCTTGCACCCTCCGCTCCGGCGCCCTGCCAGCACGGTGCGCAATGACTGGTTTCTTGATCTGATACGTTACAGCAGAAAGGATGTGGATGTGTGTTGGAGACGTTCAAACAGAACAACAACAAGAAAGTGCCGTGGCACCAAACACGTGTTTGAAACCCTGAAAGACTTTCATGCGAGCTGGGACCTCGCTCCTCCAAACCTCCTTCCCTGGCTCCCACCACTCTGGGTCAGGAGACTCAGCAGGTGGGCTAGCCAGGGTCACCCACCAGCCAGCCCGGCTCCGGGGGTGGTACCTAACACGGGCTTTCCCGGGGCAGCATCCCCTGAGCGCAGTGGGGGGTGCTACCGGCTGTCCTCGGCTCCGGGTCCCGCCGCCTCGTCGGGGCTCGCTGCCTCCCACCTTACGCCCCGTTTCACGGCCTGCAAAGCACGGGGTGGGGTCGCCAGAGGAGAGCCCGACCCCGCCGGGTTTCCTTCTCCCCAGGGGTGTGTTCTCAAACCCCTCCGCGATCCCGGCTCCATAGCCCGGGCCAAGCCGGGCTGGGTGGCAGGGGGTCCCTGGACGTGGGTGCGCGGCCGGATGCTCCCACCGTCCCCCCGAGCCGAGCCGCCCCGGGGCCCGGCCGGCGCCGTCTACCAAGTTTCTGGTGGGTGTAGCTCGCTGGGTCTTTACAGTAAAAGCCGCCTGGCTCTCACAGGTAGGAGTTTCCCCGGGCTATTTATGTACGTGTGTCTGTCTGTATAGGTTTATAAAAAACCCACCCAACGCGGACGCAGAGAGGGCGCCGGGCTGCGCCCCCCCCGCCCCGCGGCGCCTGTTTACCAGCAACGGGTATGTGTCACTGCCTCAGATGTTTTCCAGCTCACAAACTCCCCGCTCCCCTTCTTCGGCTCCACCTCCGGACCGGGGCCCGCCTTCCCCCCCTCTCCGCCCCCCCCCCGGGCACGACGCCCTCCATCATATAAAGAAACTTCCCGGGGCCGCTGGCCCAGTCGCGGTGCGCCCCGTCTCAGCAGCCGCCTCGGCAGCCAGCGGCCCCTATCCGCTCTCATCTCCGCCACAGAGGTAAGCGCCGGCGGCGGAACACACCGAGTCCCCCCGGGTCCCTCCCCGGCCCCCCGGGCCGCCGCAGCGCTCCGCCCGGCCGGCCACTCCGGCAGAGCGGGACCCGACGGGTCGGGGAAGACAACCAGGGATGGGTGATGCAGGCACCTCGGCTTCCCCCGGGGTGCGCTTCTCCCGCGGCTGTCGGCACCTGAGTGAGCCGTTTGGCTCTGCTAAAATTACTGTTGTAGGATTTCCCCCCTAATTTAAAGCAGAACAGTAATTAATACCTGCCCCGTTTTCTGTTCCCGAGGGGAAGGCGCGCACCAGCCACCGGCCCTGCCAGTTCCTCCTGTCCTGGGGAGGGTCGTGGGAGCGGGTGTGGGGGGGATCCGCTTCATGCTCTGCCTAATGGCGGGGAAAGCACTTTTGGGGGGTTGCTGCAGGGGTTCGTTGCATGGGGTAACCGCGGCCCTGGCCACCCGCAGGTACCCTGGGGAGAAGTTCGGGGACCAGGTTTGGTGTCTGGGGGGATGTTGCCAGCTGAAGGAGGGGTGTCAGGGGTGCAAAGCTGCCTAACTGCCCCAGTATTGTGCACTTGTCAAACAAGGCTCTCTCAAAGTGTCTGTGAGTATAGAGAGAGGGAAAGGCTGTGGGTAAGGAATCACTTTATTAGATTGCAGGGTGAGGGGAAGAACCTGCCAAACTAAGCTTTTGGGCACCTTTTCAGGTCGGGGAGACAAACCTGACGCCAAGTCCCCATCACTGGTGCTGAGGTCCTCATGTTAGAACCTTTCCGGTGGATGCCCATCACTGCAGAGCTGCGCAGCTCCCAGGGCTCTGCACGTGTGTAGGGCTCTGGGTGCCTGCCTGCAAGCTCCCGTGTGCCTGGGGAGAGTCAGTGCCCTTATGCCGGGCTCTGTGGGTTGCTGTCTTTCCACTTTTAGGTATTTGCTATGTATAGATTTGAATGTTGCTACATATGCGTGCTAGGAGCAGTTGGAGGGGTAGATATGTATAGGACATCATGTGTTCAAATGTGTCTTGCGTAAGTGAGCTTGTGAAAACTACTTTGATGTTATAGTTAGATGCCGTATAAATCATAACTGTGCGTGAAGCTCTCCAAATTGTGTGTGCGTGTCTAATGTTACAGATGCGCGCTGTCGTGTGCATATTTTTATGCAATTTTTACCTTTTTCATTAGAAAGTAAAAAGCCCAGTTGAACTCCGAGCAGGACAAGGGGTTTGTGCCTTACATCACCTGCGATGCGAATCTCAGCAGCCCCTGTATGTTCATGCAAAACAGTGTCGGGACAGGGGGGAAGTTTGTCAAAGCCTGCAGCACCAGTGGTGCCTGGGGAAGGCTGAGGGGGCTGTTCTCAGTTTCCTGAGGCTCGGTACTCTGATTCCTGGGGCTCTCCTGGAGCCCCCCTTCCTTTTGTAGCTGTTGCTTGGAGTGATACATGTGGTGCCAGGGACTGGGGACTGTTGGCCAGCTGCTACATGGGGACTTAGTCCATCACCTGACCTGTGGGTTTTCCTCTCCCTCCTTCCTGCCCCTCTCCCCCTCCTCTGCAGCCCCCCAGAGACTGGTGCTTGGGTGTGTGTGGAGAGGTGGGCTCGGTGAGGCACCCCAAAACCTCCCACCCGACCCCTGACACAAGTGGCATGAACTTGGAGCCAGGTGACTGCGGGATGAACTCGGTGAGCTGTGGCAACGGGAAACTCCGCCAGTGGCTGATTGACCAGATAGACAGCGGCAAGTACCCGGGGCTGATGTGGGAGAATGATGAGAAGAGCATCTTCCGCATCCCCTGGAAACATGCTGGCAAGCAGGACTACAACCGTGAGGAGGATGCTGCCCTCTTCAAGGTAGGGCTCAGCCTGGGGTCAAGGCTGTGGGGCACAGCTGGGGCAGGAGGGATGCCTGGGGGCTCTGCAGTGGTTCCTTGCCATCCCATCCAGCTTCTGCTGGGTGCCTGCGGCTGCCATTGCCTGACTGGTGCCCCTAGATGTGCCCTAATGTCCCCATGTTTACAGAATGAGAAAGTCTGCCCTTTCAGTCTCTCTCTGTGGAGCTAAATGCTTGTGGGACTATGGCACATCCATTTCCATATTCACCTTGGATTATTTTATCCCCTTTCTTGTGCCTGGTAAACTGTTTTTCCTGCTTTACCGTGCTTCTTTTTTTCTTAGCCTAAACCTGTAGGGAGTAAATTCATGCACATATAAGCACAGATATAGATGTTGTTTCAAGCATTGTGGACTTGTACCTTGTAGTTGATTATTTTTCTTTTTTCTTTTGTTCTTCTTTTTTTCTTTTTCTTGCTCTTTTGATTATCTGAAATGTTTCCAGGCTTGGGCTCTTTTTAAAGGAAAGTTCAGAGAGGGCATTGATAAACCAGATCCCCCTACCTGGAAGACAAGATTAAGGTGTGCTTTGAACAAGAGCAATGACTTTGAAGAACTGGTAGAGAGAAGCCAGCTGGACATCTCAGATCCCTATAAAGTGTACAGAATAGTGCCAGAAGGAGCTAAAAAAGGTAAAGTATCTCAAATTCCCTGTGTAACAGACTGTGAATACGTCTCATTGTAAGCACATGAGGACTGAAGTGTGCTTGTGTGGAATGGCCCTGTGGTCTTTTAAAGTCTTTTAAGGAGCCAGAATGCAGGGCTCAAGTGCAGCTTGTTCTGACTTCAGAGGCCATGTCTGTGGGAGGACTGCTGGCGTTTGAGTTGGAGCGTTGAAAGGGAGCCCTTGCAGAAGATGCAGACAGGCGCCCTCCACATCGCTGGGGGAACTGCTCCTTCAGCTGGAGCCTCCCTGCCAGTTCTGTGTAGCAGGAGCCAAGCGAGTGGCTCAAGGGACAGGCTAAAAGGAAAATAAAGGGCTTGCTGGATCTAGGTTTTGAATACAGGGAAGGGCAGAAGTGATTTAAGCAGTAGGTAACTGCTGGGAGGAAGGGATGCTCAGTTTGCAGCCTCCTGGGCAGAGGCCAGGGGCAGTGATAAACTGGGCTTGCAGGAGGCAAAGGCTTGGCAGAGCCTGGGGAAGATATCATGGAACACTGGGTATGGCCTGGCAGCACCTTCCTGTGGGGCACTGGAAAGCCCAGCAGGACTGAAGCTGCCTGCAAGTGAGGGCTGGGAATCCTGTCCCAAATGGGTGCTGGAGGGTACTGTAGTCCTCTTCTTGGTCAAAGGCAGGCTATATGGATTTGTCTTCAGTGTGCCAGTTTCAGATTTCCTCAAGATGTGTTTGACATCATTTATTTTCATCCCTCTGGTGAACTTAGGTGCAAAACAGATCAGCATGGAGGAGCAACCGTTAATGATGAACCACCCATTTCCAATACCATCTCCTTACACTTCACTCCCATCTCAGGTATGGCATCAGTTACACATTTCACTTGGTGCTTGTACATTGAGCAGCATCATTTCTGTGCTATGTGCTATGTCTGTCTTTGCTGGTGTGGCTCTCTAGTTCTCTCTGGGAAGAAACTTTATTATGAAAACAGAAATCGAGAAGCAACTTTTCTAATGTCATATGAGGCCACAGGGCAAAATGATTTCTCTTGGTGGTGTTTATCCCTGAGTAATAGCTGTTTTCTGCTGGATGATAGATATTAGTGCACTGCCATTCTCTTGATGCCAGAATGTGAGCACCCAATGAAGCCTTGCTCTTCCAAGCAGACATTTACCAGCAATGCTTTGACTGCCTTTTGTTATTCCACCCTGCTTGTTATTTACACCAGTGGTGAGAAGTTCATTTGAAAGCCTCATTGGTGGTGGTGGCAAGGTGCCAGGCGTGTAGCCTGGGCAATGCTTAGACCTCCATGGGCTTTGGCAGAGAAAATCAAGGAGCTGAGATGTGAAAGCTGATGTAATGCCTAGCATTAGTTTTGACAGCTGCTGAGTAAAAGAATATCTCATTAAATTGAATAGGTACCAAACTACATGGTGCCCCATGAACGGAACTGGAGGGAGTTTGCCCCAGAGCAGCCACATCCTGACATCCCCTACCAGTGTGCCAGCGTCCCCTTCGCAGCTCGCAGTCACCACTGGCAAGGGCCCGGCTGTGAAAATGGTAAGAGGCTCCCGTTTAGGGTTGCTTGCTGAGGTTGGTCACCTAGAAGGACCGCAGATTTCAGTTTTCTTATTTGTGGCTTTGATTGGAAGTAACAGAAGTAGCTGGGTTCCTTTCAAAAGGAGGGTTATGCTGTCCATGGCAAGAGCATTTGTCCTGGCTCTTGCTTTCATTGCCACCGTATGTGCGGTGGCAATGTTCTGGCATACGCAGTGCTCTGAGTTGATACAAGTCAGCCCCCCAAAGTCCTCAGTTGCCTCAAAAGCCCTGAGCAATAAGAATTCAACCAACCCGCTGCTAAACCTCAAATGGGAACATGTGTTCTTTAGCTTTGCTTTCTGATTTTGGATCTTTTGAGGCACACATCAGTGAGGTTTTCCCTCCAGCTTTGTGGATTATTCTTGTGTTATTCTCCCAAGAGGAAAGACAAAATTATTACTTTATTTTAGTGCTGCAGCAAATGGGAGAAATTGTCATGGACTGAGTCTTTTTTGGGGCTGGTACAGCAGAAACAGAATAAAGGGACGTTCCCTTCCCCAGAGATCTCACAGTACTAAAGCCTAGCATAATCATGGCTTTCTAAGCTCTGCATCCTTAGGAAAAAGCCTGAATTGTGAAAATTTGCAGTGCTAAAGCCTGTAGGGGGTAAAACATAAGAGAAAGGGAACTGTATGCTGTAGACCTTTGCAGATAACTCAGCTGACAATGCAGGCATTTGTGTTGTGAGGAGAAGCAGCTGGTTCAGAAGGACAGGAAAGGATGGGAAGTGAAAAAGTACTTCTTAGAGCAGATACTGCATTTTCAGAGGACAGCTCTCTAGAGGTTTTGGTGCAGAGAAATCTTTGGGTCTGCTAAAAAGGAAATGCTTAGTGCACTGCAACACTTGCTGGCAGCGTACTGGAATTATTAGGCACAATTGTTTGCTATTTGCTAATAAAAATGGGAGGTAGCAAGCTGGATGAACTCTGCCCTGAAGTACATCCTCTGCAGCAGTTAAACACAGGTTGCTGAATTTGGAGGCAGTTGTTGTTGGCTGGTATTGGCTTTCTCACTGGGCTCTAAAATGTGCTTAGAGGTCTGTTTTGAATCTGCATTGCTCCAGCTCCTGACCGTGGTGGGTTCTGCCACTGGAAAGGTAGTGTGCACTTGTCTGCAAGTCACTTATCCTCCAAAGACTTCTATTGACATTAAGAAACAACGGAAAACATCAATTGTCCACGTTATAATACAGTTAATGAAAGGCATCTCTTCAAGCAGTCTGCTAGTAGTCCTGGTAATAAACCATTAACAATCTCCTGTAGCACATTTTTCCTTCCCTACTTTTAAAAAGAGTATTAATTCCAGCTATATTGTTATACCAATCTTTAGTAAAATTCCTTATATGAAATCAGTTGTTTTATCACACTCCTTTTAAGAGCACTGAAGTCTAATTAAAAATGTAAATGATTTCTGTGGTATTATAATGCTATTATTCTGTGCTATTATTCTATAATGTATTATAAAATATATATTATTCTATAAAGTTATAAAATAATACATATTATAGTATATTCTATATAAAATACAGTCTCTCTATATTTATATATATTTTTATATATTCACATTCTATAATGTATTATAGAATAATGCATTATAATAATAATTAGAATATAGTACCATGTTAGATAAGGAGGAAAGGACTAGGAGGAACACTGAAATGTTAAGGGAGTATTTCAGGCAGACCCAAATAAAAATGCTCAAATCATATCTGGAGAGATTGATAGAGTTGGCATACCTGGAATAATTGGTAAATAGGTCATTTTTGAGAAGGGAGAAAGGGAACATTCCTGGTGGACCCAGAAAATCTTGCTTTTGCATTGCTATGACCTCTGCCCAAGGTTTTCTTTTAGCTTTTAGGCAGCTGTCACTGACTTTTGTTTGTGAAAACAGGTTGTCAGGTGACAGGAACCTTTTATGCTTGTGCCCCTCCTGAGTCTCAGGCTCCTGGCATCCCGATTGAGCCAAGCATAAGGTCTGGTGAAGCCCTCGCCCTGTCAGGTAAGGTCCGTCACCCCCCGGGCTTTCTGAGGAGCTTGGCAAGAGACTCCCATTTCTGACTTTTCCTGGCACCATCTCTTCTTTCTGATATAAAGGAAAGAAAAAAAGGAACCTCTTTAATGAATGGATTTGGTGTATGGTCTTAAGCCTCTGTTTTCCATGCTACTTCAGCACATGTAGCCCCAGCTCCAAGGGATGTAGGTGGTTAAAGTTATGGAAGTGCTTCTCTGGCTCACGGTGTTAGTTGCTGGATTGCTTTGGTGAGCCACCAAATCAGGCCTTCCCAGGGGAGTCTGGAAATCTTGGGGGGTCAGTGACTACTTATTTGGGAGGAGCTCCCACAAAACCTGGTGGTAGCTGGGTACTTTGCTATGCTCCTGCTGGTGCTGTCTGGCCTTGCTCTGCTTCTTTATTCCTGATGAAAGTAAGGCATTCGGGAAAGAAAATGGAAGTTGCTTCAGCCAGGTTTGCAGACATCCAGGTGCTGGGGGACTTCGTGAATAACTCTGGGAAAAGGTGTAGGAATGTCTTTTTTACAGAAATAATGAATAAACCTATAACATGATGCTTGGCAGGTTTCTTATTCTCCTGAATCAGGGTCTGTATGTATGTATGTGTGTGTGTGTGTGTGTGTTTGTGTATAGATATATATATAAACATACATTGTACACACACACACATGTACTTTTATATATTTTACATACATACGTATATTACACACAGAGAAGCATGTGTATATATACAGTTCTGCGTGAGTTCTGAGAGGTAAGCCAAGTCGACCAAATGGCCGTTTGAAAGTAAGGCTGGGAATTCTGGGTATAGCCCTGTTGGAGCTGGAGCCAGCAGTAGCTTCTCTTAAGGCAGCAGAGTGCAAGTTTGCAGGTCCCCTGTGCAGAAACCTCCTTTATGCAAAATCTGAGGAGAAACACATCTACTTCCTGATAAAATGTGAGGAAGTGTACTGAGCCAGTGGGTTTAATTGTGACGTGGACTTGGAAAACATGATGAACATGACTTTGCTTTTTAAGTTGAAATATGAAGTTTGTGGGATGTTAGTTCCTACCAAATTCCCACATCAGTAGCCCTTATAATAAAATGAGGCACCATTAATGCTGCCATACCCCCAAAATATTTATTTCTTTATGATTTTTGCTAATGTGAGCTTCTGGGTGGTTGTGACCACCAGGCTCAGATATCTCATGCAGACTCGTCTGTTGGCCTTAGTACAGATCTGAGACATAAAACATTCATACTGATGTATCACAGCGGTTCTTCCTCTTTCTCCTTGTAGATTGCCGACTCCACATCTGCTTATATTACCGTGAAATACTGGTAAAGGAGGTGACAACTTCTAGTCCTGAAGGCTGTAGGATATGCCATGGCCAAAGTTATGAGGTCAGCAGCCTGGACCAAGTTATCTTTCCTTATCCAGAGGATAATGGCCAGAGGAAGAACATAGAAAAGCTACTGAACCACCTGGAACGAGGAGTAATACTGTGGATGGCACCTGATGGCCTCTACGCTAAGAGACTTTGCCAGAGCAGGATCTACTGGGATGGGCCTCTGGCGCTTTGCAGTGACCGACCCAACAAGCTGGAGAGGGACCAAACATGCAAGCTCTTTGATACTCAGCAGTTTTTAGCAGGTAATTCCCACTGCAGCCTTGATACGGTTTCTGGAAATGTCACCTGGTTGCTCTATGGGTGACATATTTACGGTGAGAGATTTACGGGAGTGCTCTTTTAGGTGACCTTATGAATTACAATGAGAATTACCCCTCACTTCTTCTGGGCAAGCATAGTCAAGGGGTGTTTGACTTCTGAATGTTCCTGTCAAATTCTGCTCTCTGTGCTTGTTCAATACTCCTGCACAGACAAGCAGGAGTGGACTGATGCTCAGCTGGTGGCACCCAAAACCTCACATATCTTTAAGAAGCATAAGGAGGAACCTAAGGAATAGTCTTTTCACAAACTGAGTGACAGAGGAAAGTGAATCCTGATCTTGGATCTGCTAGTGTAATTAAGTCCTGGGTAGGTCTGTTGTCAGCACGCACAATGCTCTCAACTTGACCCAGAGAGAGCCTGAGATCTTGCTCAGAGTGTACAAATAGCCTCAAGAATTTCAGTTAAAAAAAGTTCTTTTCAGGCTTTGCCAATATTTGAAAGACATCCTGGGGGTAAAAAGGAGCAGAGCTCCTGGAGCTTCAGGGTTCCCTAGTACTCTTACTAAGGATTTGCATTGCCTCTCCAGAGCTCTGTGGGAAGGTCTTGTTTTGCACAGGGTAGTACAGAGCGGCAAGGGCACACTTCAGGACCGTGCCTTCTCTTTCCAGCCTATGGAGGGAATAGGCAGACCCTCAACCCCACTTTGCAGCACTTCTGATCACTCAGATTAGAGGGAGGAAAGCTCTCCACCCAGGGAAACTGGTGGGAGACAGTAAGTGTTCCAGAGGACAGCATGGACATCAATAATGCATATTTGCCCTTTTTTTGAGGTGTGTGGCATTGCTATATGTGAACTGTGTGCCTATGGTTAGCTGTGTTTTCCCATTAGAAGAGGGCACCAGCACTGGCATGACCCTCTCAAGACAATAATGCCCTGCAGAATTAAAAAACCCAAAACATCAAACCCAAACCAAGAGTTTTAGCATACTTTATATTCCAGGGTTGATGCACCATCCTAGCAAAATGGTCAGGCAAGAAATGCATTTAAAGAGAGAAATCTCACGTGAATGTGAGAATTGACAGTTAGAAAGGGGAATTTGAGGTCAGGGTATTGGCTTGCACTTCAATCACATGCTAATTTGAAGACGTATAATTCTGTCTCTGGTGATGGTTTTGGAAATCCCTTTCCCTTTTCTCAGGTGGTTTTTCAGATGTACTCTGGGTTCCTCCAAACGGTTGACAGGACATCTCTTTTTAGACACCTAACCCCAAAGATAAGCTGAAGCAGTAGTTACTTTTTCCCCCTCCTAAATTGCTTATGCACCAACGCCTGTGCAAACCCAAGCATGTGGTTGGAGTCATAGTCTGTGGTGTGTGCAAAGTGAGTTTTTGCACGTGTTGATGCTCAGCTAGCTTTGTGACCTGCCATGGGTGAATCACCATCTGCATGTTAATTGAATATACTGAAGTCCCAGAGTTCAGACAAGCTTAGGGATCCCCCAGTTAGGAAACTGGGACTTTCCTGGGAAGAGAGGCAGGAGGCACTCACAGAAGTGTTTGGGATTTGGAGAATTGCTGAGACCAAGTGAAACAGGAGGGAAGAGGAAGGTGGAAGAAGTTCCCTGTTAATCAGTATGGTTGGACTGGCCTTTGATGGATCACTCTGCCTGGTCCTGTCACAGCACAGAGGGAAGCAGGGCTCCGTGGAAAATCTCTCTTCTACTCTGACATACGTCTGGAAAGTCCACAGCACTTTTAGGGAGTTCTGGTGGAGGCTGCAGGGAGAGCTATGCTCAGTGTTCTAAGTGAGCTGTCTGTTGTTCTACAACTACAACCAACCCTCCCAGTAGGACTAGTAGTCCCAAACCAGTGTTGGGACACTCTGTGGTTGTCACTGCATTGATACCTTGTTCTGAAAAGCTTGCAGTTAGAGTAGAAATGGCAGGAGTGTATTTTGGGAAAAGATGCATTTGTTAAGCAAAGTTCAAAGACTTCCCTGTATAGCAGGGAAAAGCTTCATTATAAGGTTGCTTCATTATAAGACATTGGTTTTAATATTAATTTCAACTTTTTCCAGAAAGCATAAGCAGAAGTATAAATGAAAAGGAAATCTTTACCAATCAACTATGTAGAAATACTGTATGTAACACAGACTTTAACGAGGATATTATGTAGATGGATTTTTGTCTTTTCTGGAAGGATATACAGTGTCTAAAACACAACACTGATTTTGGTCACAGTGAAAGTCTCTTATGAAGGCCTCCCCTGCTGTCCTTCGTAGGGGGCACTTTGACTGTTGGAATAATTATATCACTTGACATTTTCCCTTTGTGCAAGAGTGTGGGTTAATAAAGAGAGTGCAGAAGCACAGAAGATACAGGCTCTTTTGCCAGCTCTCTGCATGGCTTAAATAAGGTCCTCCACCTTCCCTTGCCTCTCCATCGCCCTCTGGTCTCAGTGATGACAGTGGCTTCATGTCTGTGTCTAGCTGAGGCTGAATCTCACGCCTAGCAGTACTTTGAGTCTCTGGGTCTACTAAGCCATTGGCTTCAGTCCTGCTGTTGGGTGTCTGCTTGAGTGGGTCCCAGCTACTGCCAGCATCTGCTCCAGAAGGTTCTGCTGTTGAGGCCAAATAGAAACATCAATTGGAAGATATCCCAGTCTGTGTATATGAAATGACTTGTGAGGCAAGGCAAATAGAAAATTTGCAGTTTTGTGCCTAGCTCCCCCTGATTTGTGGGAAAGTCTCCAAACTCAGTGTATTCGCCTTACCTGACTCCCTTTATCCTCCCCTGGAGTTAATTCCCCTCCCACTGTCCTCCAGCATCATCCATTTACAGCTCAGCCATCCACAAAGTCTTTCTTACCAGCCTGTACCTGTTTTGGCTGGGACAGAGTTAATTTTCTTCATAGCAGCCCATGCGGTGCTATGATTTGGGTTTGTGCTGAAAACAGTGCTGATAACACGGGGATGTTTTAGTTGATACTGAACAGTGCTTGCACAATGTGAAGGCCTTCTCCGTTTCTCACTCTACCCCCACAGCACGTAAGCTGGAGTGGACAAGAGGCTGGGAGGGAACACAGCTGGGGTAGCTGACCCAAGGTTACCAAAAGGATAATCCCTACTATATGACCTTGTGGGCATCAGTAAAACTGTGGGCAGGGTTTGCCAGGGGTTGCAGAGGTTGCTGTTGCTTGGGGACTGGCTGAACATGGTGGTGAGCAATGGGAGCAATGGCTTTTTCCATCACTTGTTTGTCTTGTTTTGTCTCTTTTTTTTTTGTTGTTGTTGTTTGTTGGGTTTTTTGTTTGTTTGTTTGCTTTTACCTATTAAACTGTCTTTATCTCAACCCACAAATTTTTTCACTTCTGCCATTCCAGCTTTCTGTCCTATCCTGGTGGTGGGAGTGAGTGAGCAGCTGCATGGTGCTTGCCTGCCTACTGGGGTTAATCCATAACATGCCTCTTTCTCTCTTCCCAGAACTGCAAGCCTTTGCTCACCATGGACGTCCGCTGCCAAGATACCAGGTGGCTCTGTGCTTTGGGGAGGAATTTCCAGATCCGCAAAGGCAGAGGAAGCTAATTACAGCCCATGTAAGTAGGACTTCTGCCTTACCTAAAGGAAACATATTCCATGGAGGTTATGAGTCTGCCAGTCAGGCTTTCCTACCTTGTGTAGGTGCTGAGTGAGGTAATAAATTCTTGGAAATGTGGCACCTTCCAGACCAGGGTTGAATCCCCAGATCTGCCTAGGACTGACTGGTAGTCCTCAGTAGGGCTGAGGACCTGATTTCCCTCTCTGTAGAGCATAAGTGTCATCCATAATTTCTTGCACATCCCTTCAAAATCTAAAGCTGAAAGGTACCCTGGAAAAGCTGGGCCATATTGTCATCACCATCCAAGTTGCACAACACCTTGGGCTGCCAGGTCAATGCAGGACATGGTGTTTTCACAACTGCTGAACCTAAACGTGCTCCAGAGCCGGCATCTCAGGGACTTCAGCCCTTACAGGATGCAGAAGTTGCCTGTGCAGCTTCAGGGTTAAGGTAGTTGGAAAGCTCATGGGCTGACTGGCTACAGTTTGCACACACTCAAAGTTGGTCTTTCAGGATGCTATCTGAGAAAGGGTGATGACACCAGGTACTTTCTAAATTGGCTGTATTGGCCCATAAAACCACAAGAGAGGTGATAATGCTGACATTGGTGGCAGGGCTTAACTTACTGAATCTCTGGGAGGAAAACTGGTGTCTTTAATTTTTTGAAAACTCCTGCCCCCTTTTTGGCTTTCCAGATTCCATCCTTCCGTTGTAGCATCCCCTCTCCAACCCCCTTCTTCAGCTCCTGACCTGGCAGCTTCTCTTTGTACCTTTTGCTCTTTCCAGAGCTTTGCTTCCCCCTTACCAGTTGCTCCTCAATCTCTTGGGCTGTCCCAGCCTGTGGGGTGGTGGGGCTCCATGGTCCCACCAAACAGCTGTGCCCCAGGAGCTGTACGGCTCACCTGCCTCGCTGCCTTCCCATCTCCCTCATGGCAGGACAGAAGGTGCTCAGCTGCTTCCAAATACAGATAAAAGGAAGTGAAAGGGAATTGGTGGGCCTGCTCCAAGGCAGCGATCGCTTCTTGGAGATGGGAACCAGAGGCAACATATTTTTCCTCCAAAGTGATGCCCATATCTTAACATGGAGGGGCTGGCTGACCAGCAGGAGAGGGTTGTGGGGACGAGTTGTCCAACCTGTTTATCCCCAAGGGTAAGGTGAGCTTCAGGTGCTTTTTCTCAGTGTGCAACTTAAATATTTGCTGTTAAGAGCCCAAAGCCCTGAGGTGAAACAGTGGTTTCTGAAGAGACAGAAGTGAAGATAGCGTTAAATCATGCAAAGCTTTCTGGGTGGTTGAACAGATTCCTCATCAGCTTGAATGAACAGAAACAAGAGTAATCTTGGTGTTAGACTGAAGACTGATTTCACAGAGTCATTTGGCAATGTATCTCAGTCTACCTGTGGGCACCAGCATTTAGAGTTCAGTCCTCAAAGTACTTTACAAGGAAAGAAGACTTTCAGCACTTTGCATATGCATTTGGACGACTGGCCACAGACATTGTGTGCCTATATGCATCACTCAGGGGCTGGCTAAAGGGCTGCCATTGCTAGTACATCATTTGTGTCACTGGTCGTGCCCTTCTAAATGAAAGTCAAGGCAGTAAGGAGTGTGTGCAGTTTAGAAAGGCACCTGGCAGCAGAACAGGCAAGGCTTAGATTAAAGCAGAGGTAGTGAGGCTACTGAGATAGTTTTCCCATCCTGGTAAGCAGAACTGTTTTGTCCCGCCTTGCTTTTAAGTTAGAACCTCTGTGATGAACCAAGATGAGGAGCATGAAATTTTGTCACATGTCTGATTAACATTTTGTCTGTTCTTAAGGTTGAACCAATGTTTGCCAGGCAGCTGTATTACTTTGCTCAACAAAACAGTGGACATCTTCTGAGAGGCTATGATTTACCAGAACTTGTGGCTAGTCCAGAGGATTATCACAGATCTATTCGCCATTCCTCTATTCAAGAATAAGATCTTCAGAAAAGAGTATTTTTAAAGGCACTGTAAGGATTATGCAGAGTGGAGGAACAGATCTGGATCGCAATTTGGAGATCCACATCGCAGCTGGAAGTGTTCAGGGGTTCAATATAGGAAAGTGACCTAGGACAACCATATTGTATGATACAAATGACGGGTCTCCAATGTTTGGATGCTACATCTCACATAGGTTCCAGTGTTGCTGAGGATAACTCAAAACTGACGAAATGATTGCTATGTTTACGTTTGCTTAATGTTCTCCTTGGGTTTTGAGGACTGATTCTTACCGAAGACTTAAATCCAGCGTTTACACTGTTACCTTTGCAGGGCTATTTATTTTGGATTACTGATCTCAGGGAAGGTACATAAATTTGTGGTGTTCCCAATTTGAAACTGTAGCTACTATAGGTGCATAGCAAACGTAGACAGTTTGTTGAGACTAGCCGATACATGTAAGTGGTTATAAATTTAGATTCATGTGATGCCTATATTCTTGTATAGAATATTTCAGTGTATTTTTTAAAAACAATGCAATTCTTCAAAGACGTATTTTTTTTAGTGCCTGACATTTGTCCTGACAATGAATTTTGTTGATGCCGCTGTTCTTACTGGATTAGCCCCCATAATAGCAGTTTCTAAGGTGATGCATTTATGGTACTGTGTTAAGAAAAGTGACCATTCAACTCCAAGTACTTGTGAATTTAGTGGATAAACCACTAAAATTCTAGAGTCCCGAAGAGCAGGTTTAGAAATAAATTACATTTTTATTATAATTGAAAGCTACTATGCATTATATATATATGCATTAGAATTAACTTGAGAGACCTTGAAAATAGCACAGAAATGGTCCTCCTAGCCCTTTTTTTATGTCACATGCATGAGCCAGGTTAAAATAAGCACTATCTCTGACTTATACAGAGCCAGCTCTGCTCTTTGTGTGCACTTGGAGCTTTCTTCCAGTGGTACTTAAATGAACGTAAAGGGAGAGTTCAAGGAGAGCAGCGTCTGGCCTCCTGTATTAAGACAGTCAAGGAAATACTTGTTTTAACGTTTGTTTTCAAAAATCTCATAGAATTTGATGTGATTTGCAGCTTTTGATGATACGGTGCTGTTACAAAGAGAAGAGATCTGTTGGGTATGCACGTCGGTGAAATTTTCTCGCTGGCAAGCAGACTGTGTGCTCTTAATAGCTAGCTCCAGAACATGATCTCCCCATGCTTAACAGACATACTTCACTTGACTTTCCAAATGAGGAAGAAAAACCGGTACTTGGTCTGGCAGCAGACTTGCGTTCTAGGGACTTTAAATTTATACATCTTAAAGATGCATACTCTCTTGGGATATATTATCCCCCTCCTTCTCCATAGTGCCAAGCAGAATTAACAGATCGTTTTTACTTTGTTACTTGAAGTGTTTTTCCTGGCTTAAAGATTTTCTTAGGGGAGACCTCTTTCTTAGACATGAAAAACCACTGCTCTAGGTGACCTTCAGAGCTTCTGCATATGCTTTTGGCCTGTGCGTACATTTTACTGAAAGGGACTGTTGTGTTCAAACTGAACTGGTACGATACAAGTGTTTGATGTGTTTTTCACTTTTTTTCTAGTGGTTGTTGCTTCACATGCTCATACGCTTCAGCTCACATCTTAGAATAAAGTCCTTATTCCCTACCAACTCGATTTGTATGTGTTGTTTTCAGTCGTGGGACAAATCTAACAGCAAATCTAATGCATATGATTCTGCGCTGTGAACCTGGGCAGCACTGCTGGCTAAGTCTATGGGGAACTGTGTTCTAAGCCAAAAGTGCAGAGAAAGGTCAAATGGTAAGTATTTTTGCTTATGAAAATGCCTGTGACATTAGCTACAGTTAGTAGAAAAAGGGAAAATGAGGAGGTTGCCCTTTGGCTGTTGGCTTCCTGGACTATGGATGATGCAGCAGAGCCCTGCAGCTGGGGATCTGGTACTGATCCTGAGGGCCTCTGGGGCTGGGGACCAGGCTGGTGCCTCCCATCCCAGCCGAGTACCTGGGGACCCTCTGACGCACTGTTCGCTGGGTTGGTAGCTACTGGTCGCTATAGTTTCCAGAGTGCTTTCAAGTGGGAAAAGCTATGAAAGGGTGAAAAGGAGGATGACAAGTGAACTAGATAGTTAAGAATAGGAGTGAATTTCAGCAGGCAGCCCCTGCTTTCTGTAAATCAAGGTCCTGAGAAGGCTCCTTGGGTACAGTAGCATACAGCCAGAGCAAGGTGTGAAAACTAGTTGCAAGATTTGTAAAGTGTGAAGATGGGGGGAGGGCATTTTACTTGGAGGCTTCTCTTGACTATCAAGGTGCATTACCGGTTTTGGCTTTGGAAGGAGTGTTTAATTATTTCCCTTGAAGGAGCGTCATTTAAAGTCAGTGGCTGTGAAGAGGGAAGGAGGAGAGTACCGTGTTCTGGCCAAACACGGTTTGCTTAGTTTGAATGCAGAGAGATGCAGGTTGAGATATTTCTCTTGGAGGGATGGGACAAGGGGAAGAGTGGAAGGAAAATCAAGCTGTTGGTTTGTACCATAAATTATTTTGCACGTGAGGACTTTAAAGCCGCATCTGACTTTTGTAACCATGTCTTACTCTTCCAAATAACTAATGGATACGTAAAGTGGAAAAAAAAAAAGCAATCAAGAAAAAACCCTGAAAACATTTTCTCCTCTTAGTAGTTTTTTACAGTCACTACGTGAAAGCTTTTGAAGTACTTCCTACCTCTGTTAACTGCAGTTTATAGTTTCTGAGGTCTACTTCCTTCCTGGTTTAGTTTTGTGGCGTTATAAATGACATGTTTCACTCCCATCAACACCAAAGGCATAGCTGGTGTGTTTTCAAGCAATTTCAGCATGCAGTTTGTGTCAGTATTGCTTTCTCTGATTTTAATACGGCCCCTCTTAAAACCATTTCTTGAAAGGGTTTTGTGCCAGAGCTCTGCAGCTGAAGTACATACATTCAGAATTTGGTTCTGCTAAGTGGTTTTGCCTACTGCTGTAAACTGTATTAGCCTCACAGGGACTGTAGGTTAACCAGAAATGAGGAGATACATTTTAAGCTGAAATACAGTGTAACAGGGTTTGTGGAAAAAACACAGGATTCACGTGAAAACCCCTGTGGCCTTTTAGGCGGGCATAAGCATGCTGTTTACATCAGCATTTGTCAGCAGCGTGGAGGTGGGGAAACACCACTCTTGGCAGAGAGCTTTCAGGAAAAAGCAAAGCATTTTCTCTTGCAAGCTCTCCATCATTGTCCGTGTGTACTTGTAAAGAGGCTGAGGTGGGGAGAGAGGAAGAGGACTTACCAAAACAAAAACGATGAAAGCAGCTGAGTAGTTTGAAACAATCATATCATCCAGATTAGTTATTTGTGACCAACTGCTTGCAAGTTTGGTCAGCTCCAAAGAGAAGTCAACAGGTCCCTGTGACTGGGAGCAGTTAGGAGGCAGATGGTGTGCAGCTCATTCAAGCACTAAGTTTTCAAGCGTGTAGCCAGGTGAGTGCATCCTTTTTGCATGACAGTGGGGTGGTTACGTCCACTGTGTCCCACAGCTGGCTGCAGTGCTGGGCTACAGGTACTAACTGCCCAAACACCTGCAAAATGCTCAGTGGCTTGGCTGTTCTGAAATGACAGTCAAGAAGGAGGTAACTTAGGTGTATCAAAGTAACATCCCTCCAACTATAGACACTGAATAACTGATGAAGATGCTGACTGGATGAGTTGCTGTTGCCCTGGCAAGAGGTAAGGCAATCACCTGTGCTCAAGTGCAAACAGAAGAACAGTCCAGATGTCTTTGTTCTGGGCTTGGGTTTGTTTTTCCCACTTTGCACTGGCAGCCTGTCCCAAAAGCTGATGTCAGAGTGGCTCTGCACAGGGTGGTGTTTCGCAAAAAGGCGACAGTCCCTGTTTTCACCTCTTAGATAGGAGTAGCTTGGGAAACAATGGTGATGAAGCACAGGACTTCATTCTGTGAATGTACTTATCGTTTCAGCAGCACTGGCGCAGCGTGGCTGCATCGCACATCTCTGCAGGCCAGCTGGCAGTCTCCTGCTGCTCCAGTTACACTGCTGCCCACTGTCCCCAGACATGAGAATGTGCAATGGGGACTTTCTGAAATCAGTCTCCCAAGCCTTGTCTACCATTTCATGCTCCTTTCAAAAGACATGTCATGAGTAACACACAAATTTTGCCTCTCAAGCTAAGAAAACAGGCAGATTTGGGTGACCTCACAGACCACACGTAGTATGTGTCCTCTGTGTTCCTGGGAAGTGACTTCATCTTTGACCCTTGGGCTTGCTCTATTTTGGCGTCAAAAGCAGCGTATGCATTCTTGCTCTAGAAATGTCTGAAATCCAAAAACTTGTGGATTCTGACTGCCCATGTCTGCTTTTAATCCCTTTTCTGGCCAGGCAGAAATGTTGTCCATGTAGTATCAATGAAACCACCTATCACAGGAGATTCTGTGAATGTGCATGTGAACCCTGTGATGTTAGAGCAGATACTTGTATCTATGTAGCTGAAGTATACTTGCCCAGGTCTCTCAGCTGTATGAGTACGATTGCTATGTCCGTGTCACCATATGCATGTAACACATTTCACCGTTGCATCTTCACTATGTTGTCCACCTTTCTCCTTCTCACTTTCTTTGTGAAGAGCAAATGTTTGAATATGGATGGGGCAACAAAAGCAATGTCCTGATTTCTTCAGGTCTGCAAGACACAGAATTTCTCTCCGAGCTGGTGATGGCCAGAGCAGCAGAGGCAGAAGTCAGACACTTTTCAGGTTCAAGCACTTCTGCTGTTTGTCTCCAAAATGCGTTAGCCTGTCTCTGTCCATGGTTAGGCCCTATTCATGTATCAAGGGACTGTTTGTGTCATATAGTCTTGCGCCTTCTCTTCCTGGTCTGATGCAGGTACCAGCCTTGGTACACAATCATGAAGAAATTTTCTTTTAGTGGTGGGTGCAGCCATCTAGTAATGCGCATTGCTAAATACCTTGTTGTGGGTCTAGGTAACACCTTTTTGGCCCGCTCTTAGGTCCTCTTTAAATCTTCCACTACACTGACAGCAAAATCTAAAGGTAGGCAGTGTTTCTTACTATTTGCACAGTGCCCAGCATGATAGGGCACCACCTTGGGAGTTCAGCCTCTAGAGAACAACACAATTCCTGTAATTGTGAATAGGATGAAATGGGGTCTTGCCAGTTGTGATTCTCACCCTAGAAACCATAAAACCATATTCGCAGAATATAATTGTGGCAATCACTTATGCTAGGCTTTCCCATAGGAAGCGGGTGTACAGTTTATTTCAGCCCAAGCCACCACATTCAGATTACTTTTTCTCAAGGAGGTGATTGAATCAGTTGTTTCTCACGCGCCTGTTACAGCCATTCATAGTTCTCTTGTAAAAGCGAAGGCTGAGCATTTCCAGTTTCTAGCACGGAGCATCTAGCTTCAGATAAAATCACTTTTAGCGCTAGACACCCTGCCTTTTCCCTTTCAAACTTCTCCTGGGTTTCATGATCTGTATGTCCCCAGAAACCAAAGCTATGGGTCAGGTCTTGTTACATCTCCAATAACTCATTTTCATTTCCTTTTTTCACACATGATCAAGAGGTTTAGCCCTCTTCATGACTGTTCCCTCCCACAGAAAAACCCATGTGAGGAGTAGCGAGAGAGGAAGACTTCAAAAACAGGGTGAGTGACCTCATCATGTATCTACTGTAGAGACGTCAGTCTCCAAGAAATAGGAAAGGTCAGAGCTGTTTAAGAGCAAGGGGTTTTTCACAGCACAGCTGAAAACCCCAGGCCAGGTCTGATGAATTCATGTTATCCTCATCCTTTGTCTCATCTTTACCCCAAATATTTGGAGACCCTCCTTCCAGAGGAGTTGCTGACCAGTGATTTTTAGCGCCAGTTGGCATCCTGAAGCACCAGTCACAGTAGCTTTCACTAGGCTTGGACTTTCCAAAGAAATTGGTAAAACAAATGACAGACATTTGCATGGGGGTAATACAAAATCTTTTATTCCTTTTAAATAAACCTGATTTTTCTTCCAGAACTTCTCCCACCCCCGATATAACCAAGTTCT